CGTTTCCGAAGAGAACAAACTTACAAAAACTACACTCTATGGACAATCGAAGGTAAGTGGGCGGAGCCAAAGGCGGGGCATGGAAAGAAGTCCGCCTTGGCCGGCTACGTATCAGGCGACGCAATGAAAGAATCGGGTTAAAGCGTGCGATTTTGGAGAGTAGAGACAAATCGATCGATAGAATAGGATGGAGTAGAAGTGTGAGATGTGAATGCAATAAGTCAAAAGGCCAGAAAGAGTTTCTAGTGACGGCACTCCAAGAACCAAGTGGAAGCATTCCCGTCGCCAGCATTTGTGACAGATGTCCGGCGGTACTTTGAACGCGTAGCAGCCCTTTCGGTTTTTCGAATTTTTTTTACCAAAACAATTTTTTTTCGTTCTTATCGTGAACGGTGGGTTCCAAGCCGGTGAATAAAGGTGAGATAGAATTGCGATTCTTTCCGAGAAGGATTCCTTTGACAGTAGCACGGTCTGCGGCTGTGACAGGCGCTCAGTCTATTTTGAGCATTTCGGCCCTGTCAAAGATAAAAGAGCTTCAAATCATAAAGTTCTGGGGTTTACGTATCGCAGTGCATGCAAAATGGGCGCGCTTCACCTAAGCCGTCACAACTATGTAAGGGGTAACAAAACTGTGAAGACTACATAGGGAGGAGTAGCACAAAATCGGTGGATACAAGACTGAGCATCTAGGCATCAATTATACAAAATTATACATTTGTATGAACACGGTATAAACAAGGTGTAGACGAGGAAATTCTCACCGAATTTTCATCGCAACTAATGTTGCAAAGTGAACGTTAAGTCAGAGTCATACGTGGGATGACTAGAAAAGTAGTAAGATTTGGAAGGAGGCAGTCAACGGCTGGAAAAATTTGGGGAAATAATGGTTAACGAGGCATTTAGCCGTTCTACTAGTGGAAGCTCAAGTTCAACCCGTGATGGTCAGCCGTTTGCGTTGTGTCCTGGCTATTGATAATACATCCGAAGCAGTATTAGGCGGATGTCAGACTTTGCGAATCGCGCGATTCGCTAGCGTCTGCGGTCGCCGTTGGATCCTGCGCTAATTCATAACTACTCCGAACTGAATTAGGGTTGACAATTTCATAGACGAAGTCTATAAGAGCATCTTCACTGTAGCCGCCGAATACTTAATAGTCAACTAGAGACAGCAGGCATTCGATCGATTTCCATTGTTGCGGCGCTGCGTCATGTAGGTGCAGAAGGTGCCTCCAGCCTACGGTTGCGTTTGTGAAAATGTCCGGTGTCCCGTGTACCCGGTCGAATCCCGCTCGTCGCTCCGTCCAACCGTCGACGTCAACGTCAGATACATTATGCCATTTGCCTTGGTGCCAGCAGTCTCCGTCCTTACGCGACGCGCCCGCTGGCCGTCAGCTGTCTCCGCGATAGGTCTATAAAGAAATACTAGTATTACTCTATATCTACAGTCATAATACTACTCTGAGTAACGCACATTCGGGTGGTCCACCTACATCGTCGTTACCAGGGTAAGACGTGACAACTTTCAAGCTAAGGTCTTCGAGAATAAATGATCGAGAAAAAAGCAGAAGCTGTCGTGATGACGTTTTGAACGTGATAAGTTATTTCATCCTGTCATTGTACGCTGAAAAGATTATCCTCCACTATTCCATTAGGTTAACAAGAATCCACAATTTCTCGGCATCACTGTAATTTAGACAAAAGCTCCCTACCAATGCAATTGGATAATCTACTTTCTTGATAAAAAGTGGACGAAATAGTATGGAGAAGAGCCGCCTCCTCAGACAGCAAGAGTCAGAGATCTCACATGTTCGGCAGATGTGGTCTTAGGCTTAAAGGTACGCCGCAGGATTAAAAGTCTCTAGCCAAAGCGCTATACAAATAACGGTAACTGCGAGGAGGGGATAAAGTTCATAAAAACAATAGTCAAGAAAAACCAGCTGAAAACTTAAAAAATTACCGCAAAACTTCTGTATGGTCGGCCGACCCGTGGTAAGGAGAGACTCACATGCTGGGAATAGAGATATCGAGAAGCACCCTGCGAGAGGGCCAGCTACACTTGGCCGTATCAACATACACAGCGAATGTAGAATGACCTCACCTCGGCAGACGACCCGCTTATCGGACCATGGCCGCGTCACGCGCTCTTGTCGTACCCTTCGAGCTCGTTCAAAACAAGGCATTGGTTACTTTCGCGATCAGCTCTATCCACCTAACCGTAAATGGATGGCTCCATTGATATGAAGCGCGCGAAAACATCCTTGAGTCTTCTATATGCGGTCGACCAGCACTTTATTTTGGAGTCACCGCGTCAGTGTATGAATCCTCTACTTACCGTTTGGGAGCGCCGCAAGCAAAGTCGCGCTAGCAGTATTTGCAGTCAAAGATACGTATTCACGCTCACGCCACTCAAATCATGTCCGTGTTTTTGAGGCGGCTGTCCAGGGGAAAGCGTTACGTCGTATCTCTCATCTTCATAATTTTCCTCCTTCACTATTTTCCTCCCCTTGAAAATGATGAAGTTTTCGCTAATATCTCAGGGAAACCAAGGAAGCCAGTCAAGGAAGTGTGGTTTTTCCGATTAACGCTGAAAAATAAACTGCCTTGGGTGCACCCTAGAACTCAGTATTATAATTAAGTTGTCGAGAATGTTACGGTAAATCGTGTAGGCCAAGTCAACTAACTGAGAAATCTGCGTGCTATCGTGGTTGATTAAAACTCACTAGTAAACATTACTTGTTCGAACGCTTCTACTGAACTACTTCTCTAGCGCCATTAGATTTCGTCCCCTTTAATATCTCCTATTTCCGATAAGGTAGATGTGTTATGTCATCTGGTCGTTCTCGTAGAAATTTGCATATAAGATGAGTTTTAAAAAATAAAATTTACCGTATCAGCGGTCGACGCGCGGCTCGGTTCTTGATGAATTCATCCAGATATGCCGACTTCTCTTCATAGAAATGAATAGATCGCCGATGCTAAAAGGAAAGCTTATAATACTCAAACTGTTACCGAACTGTGCATGTGTTACAGTTTTCATAAATATCTTGTGAAATTGTAGCACACATTACTATCCTAAAAGAAAGCGCAGGTTGTCTGCACACAGCAGCGAACATTAAAGGCCTGAATTCGAAGGAACCTTGCTCATCAAGTCTTCCTTGGCTTGTTGTCGTTAAATGCAAAAGAGCAAACTTACTAAGAAGCTGACTGGACCTTTACTGTATCGCTTTCCAGCTTTGTCATTGAGTTTAGAAAATCTTGTGGTAGATCGCGAAAGGATGTTTGAGCACAGCGCTAAGGTGCGTAAAAAGTATACTTCACTTCAACTGGCCGGTGTGACCTAATCACCTTTCTTGGTTGGCAGCGATTTCACGAAACTAAGCAATGTTCTGTGTTCAAAGCAGACGATACGTTTCCGCTTGTGGCCTTCCCTGCTATTTCAGAACGTCTATTTTGCTGGAGAAATAAAAAAGAATAATTACCAAGGTGTATGTCTGAGTGGTGGTGCTCTACAGAGCGAATCCTCCGCCGTTATCTACGTTTTTATCATTAATGTTGGAAACTCTATCGAAAGAATGGCATTCGATCATTTCAGGCTCAGCCCAGTTGTCTCTTCGCTTTTCAGAAGGGCGTTAATTCAGTTTCGGATGCAATACAAGTGGGATGGGCACGCCGTATTTTTTTGGAATATGGTAGGCGCGAAATGGTGCTAAGTGAGGTGCCCACCCAACACATATGACATGACGAGTTATCTTTTTAAGAAACAATCGAAATGAAAAGGAAGCTAACATCGATTTCTGTGTTGTTCATGGTGTCCATCACGACAGCAAAGTTGTCACCTGGTGCTGCAATTTTCTCTATGTGGCGATAGAGCGCGTATACTTGATCACCCTGAAAGACAAATTAAGATGAGTAATTTTTTGAGAAAAAAGTCATTTTTTAAAAATTAACTCTTGTTTATTATTGGACAGGCGGTGTTTTGCTCAAATTTTGATGTATTCTCACCTTCAGTGGCTTCAGTGGTCCTTTCGAGCTGGTGGTTTAAATTTCTTGTGTTCGGCGCGTACTAACAATACTATGCGAATCAACCGGTGGGAGATTATAGTAATTTCGGAGGAGTTCGAAGCAAAATCGGAGGGTTTTCGTTTTAGAAAACAGTCAAATGAGGGCAGTGCATATCTGGAGGGTAATCCCTACAGCATGAGTTATCCTATAAAAGCGCAGGAACGTTGCTAATTGATTTAGATGGATAGAGAACAAAGGGACGTGCAAAACGGGTCTGAGAACAAGCATACTATGCGTTGAGTTCCTCAAATGCGAGTAGTTGGCAGATAGGTAAATATGCCGGTCGCGAAATTGCAAAAAATGACAACTCTTCCCCCCACCCCATTTCCCTCGTACCCTCCGCATACTCCTCCTCCTCTCCCAAGAAATTCTGGCACGTACAACCCCATCCAGAATCTCACTAATGAAGGCACTGTGTTGCGTTCGTATGGATGACGAAGGAAGTGTCAAGTAAGGACGTTATAAGCTTGTTTACTGGTAGTGGTAATGTCAATAAAGCACGTTGCTGTTGGGACCTAACCAGGAAGGTCTTTCAGGGCCAAGCTTTTTGAAAACGGTCTTTTGCATGATATAGGGGCACATGCGGGAACCACAGAACCATGGTTAATTTTTCCTGAACGGCCCTCTGAATACCAGAAAAGGGGGTCCCTAGTTCGATTCCTCGTGGTGACAAATTTTTGCATTCGAGTTGACGTTCCAAAATTCGCGCAAAATGGAGTTAGCATGAATAATTAGTACCATATTCATGATTAGGGCCGTCAGTAACTCCTACAAAAAGACTTTGACTTAAAAATTGGTGTGAGAGGTGTGACATCAAGCAGCCCCACTGTGGTGTCACACCTTTTTCACCAGTTTTTTTCATCAAAGTCTATTTGTAAGGGTTACTGACGGTCCTAATCATGAATATGGTACTAATTATTCATGCTAACTCCATTTTGCGCGAATTTTGGAACGTCAACTCGAAATGCAAAAATTTGTCACCACGAGGAATCGAACTAGGGACCCCTTTTCTGGTATTCAGAGGGCCGTTCAGGAAAAATTAAACATGGTTCTGTGGTTCCCGCATGTGCCCCTATATCATGCAAAAGACCGTTTTCAAAAAAGCTTGGCATGCCCTGAAAGACCTTCCTGGTAAGAAATTTGGCCGAGATAGGTAAAAGATTAGTGTAATAAGCTAGGCTGCGATTTCAATCGAGGAATTCTTGATGTATCGATAAACAGTAACCCACTAACCATAGACGCATTGCGCTTCTTGACGATGTCGCTCAATCGGATCTTTCGCATTTTGTAGTAGTCGAAGTCGATGTCTTCGAACGCCTCATCATCTGAAACTGAGTCCTCGAATTTAATCACGGAAATCTAACTATTGTTAAGATATTATACATGTAGTTAATGAAGATGACATGAGGAAGGTCTTTCCCTCTTCACTCCTAAGGCTTAGTCTTGTCGGCGTGCAGAAAGCCGCATATTTCAATGCGTTGCTGCTGCTTCCTCCCCGCCTTCACACACACACGGCTTAGCCATACGTTGAAAAACAATAATGGTCGTTGTGAATAATAAAATAATAGTAGTTGAGAAATGCTGGCCATTTTGGTATTTTTTTAATGGAAGGGCAAAGGTGATGTAAGTGCAAGCGACGGTCCAGAGGCGCGAGATCAAATCTGGAACAACACTGCCTAGGCCAGCCAAGCCTTCCATCTCACAGGAGTCGGTGTTTGACAGCAGAACAAGGAGAAAAGCATTGAATTGAAATAATTGTGTAGCCCCAATCGCAATAAAATGCCACTACATTCTGAATCGAAGTGGGTGGCAAATCGCGAAAAGGATCACCATCGCTTTATCCTTTGCTCTATTTTCTCTGTCACCCGGTAAATTACATCGTGAGATCGTTGAGGTCATAGCTTTATCCCGCTACTCTTCCATAACCATGTTCTGTGCGAATTTCGTGTTCTGTTTATCTGACTACGTGCTGATGGCAGAATGCAATAATATTTTTGTCTTCCTCTTAGAAACGACGAGAATCTCAACCATATCGACGTCAATCGTAGAGCTAATTTGGGCATTGTATGGATTCTTCGGCAAAGAAGCTTAGGATTAAAACAGAATATGTGGGGCGTGTTAAACCGAAAGCGATTAGCCGACAGATTTCCTTCACTTACGTTGATAAATTTTTTGTTTTGTATAAAAAGCAAGGATCACAACGAGGAGCTCGGTGGAGGAGATTAGAATGAATCTGTTTGATAAATCTTCCGCAGTGAGGATCGATATTCACGCTCTTTTAGAGAGATTCGTGAAATGAATTTTTAGTTGTCCTCCAAATTTGGTAGATTTGGACAGTTGGTCATTAGGTCCGTTAAATTTACAGAATTATAATAGGAATACGATGCAAGAAGGATACGATACAAGGATTATGATCGATCAGAATCATTAGGTTACTTACCCGTCAAATTGAACACGATCAGAACGAGGATATCAGAACAGATTTAGGAGGATGTCTCTGTCGAACTGAAGGTGATGGAGCGGCGACTGGATGGCAAAGTGGCGTGTACTAAGGAGGGAAGGGATTACCCAGTAAGGAAGGCTCTGGTCTTTGATGTTCTAGCAAACGATCGCGAGGAGCCTCAGGACAAGGTGTGGAGTGACGTCATAAAGAAGGTCTTCACTAAGGCCACCGTAGAAGATGCTGTGGATAGGACAATGTGGTGACGGCTAAGAATAACTGCAGGCCCTTCGTCTGCACGGGATTAAAGCGAAGAGGAAGAAAAAGATGGTCCACTTGCTACTATTTATTTATCAGTCCTTATCAGTTGTTATCATTTCCCAACCACGTTTCTCTCCCATCACCAACCTAAACGTGGTTCTAAACGCCCGGCCCCTCCCCTATCAGACAGCTGCTATCGTTTCTCTATCCCCCTACCTAGGAAATTTCCCGGCTGCGAATCGCGCTGCGCTATGAATTATTAAGGGCAAACACTTGATCACAAAGACACAGGCAGACATTCTTAGCGAATTATATAGGGACTGAAATAAGAAGAATACCAAACTATCGCAATACGCACCACGTTTGAGTTTCTGGGCCTCGAAAAAATATCTTACTTCTCAAGAATTTTATTCTTTTTTCTACTCCCCACTCATTTCCTGAATACAATGCCTAGTTTAGAAGCAACATCCCCTCCTTTGTTAGGAATTCCCAACGAACGACTGACCCTGTTCCATTCCCTTATCCCAGCTGGTGTTGAAATGGCTTCAAAATGTCCCATCCTTTGACAACATTTTCAAGGGCTTCCACACTTAATCTCGAGAGAATCCCTAGTTCCCCATCTATTATCGGAAACAGCTCGAATTACAGTACTCATGTAGATCCCCTAACGGAAACATCGAATTTTTCCGAAGTTACGTATGTGCGCTTTACAGGAAACAGGAAGCTGCGTTTTAATTATTTCGTATTCATGCCGGAATTCACAACATTCTTAGGCGATCATCGCTAATAAGCAACGCGTCATTGCTCGGCGTGTTGAAAACATTTATGTGAAAAGCCGTAAATAAAGGCAGAGAGCATAAGCCGAGTTGACGGTACTCACCCGTGCCAAACACGATAACTCGTCCCGGTTGTCGTTGCTCAGTGAAGCCGAAGTCGACCAGTATTGAAGCTACGGTGGAAACGACGTTCGTCGCTGCCTCGGGGACGGTTATCCGAACCATCCTCTTGGAGTTTGAGAAGTATCGCAGAAACGGCCGTGCAATGAGATGGTGTTGCTGGATCCGTTTCTGAAAGGGAGTTTTTTTTCAATTTTTTTTTATTGAGAATAACTAGTAGAGATATCGGTGAGGGAAACCGTTAGATAGAATGTGACCTCGACTTTTAAAGGCAGTGATCAACATGTGTCGCGTAACACGTCGATCGCTCCAACAGAACCCTGGGTCGCGCCGACGCCTGCGAAGTACTGCCGACATGACCCCGTCTGATCTATCCGTGATCGTGCGGCAACGCACGGGCTGTTCGCAACAGCACCATCACGGCCCGGCCCGGTGTTCCCTTCACGTCTCGGTCTTCCCTCTTCGCTCTTGTCTCGGCATGTCTCGCAGGGTGCTTAGCCCCGGAACTAAATCTCGTGAGTTATTCCTAGTCCAAATTCAGTGTGGTTGGTCGGCGGGTCGAAAAAAGCGATCCGACGTGTGTTAGTTCCTTATTTAGCTTTGTTCTAACACCTGAATGTGGTTTATTAGTTCACTATAAGATAACTTGGGATCACTAAAAAGCTCAGCATCACAATATGCTCAGGGCGCAATGTGGAGCGAGGAGGGAGCCAGTCGCCGCGCGCGATCTCTGCTCGGCCGCGCCCTGTAGTACTAAGCCTAGGAGTGGGCAGGAACTTCAGGAAGATGAAAATTGCTATGATCCTGGAGTTCCTCCTTCCCTGCCCGTGGCTTAGTCCCGATTTAGCGAAGAGGAATGACAAGTCGCAGCGATCGTGCGGCCGGCGGACTGCCCCCCCCCCGAGCCACATTGCGCCCAGCTCAGGTTAATCATCCTGACTCTGTCTTGAGTATCTTCAAGCTGTAATTCTTACACCACATATGACAGGTCCCTTCAGCATCAAGTAGTATTATATTTTCCAGACTCAAAAGCTGATTAACGGATTACGTCAGAACGTGGGCTATAAGCGGGACCTCAGGAGCTCAAGCCCCGCACCACATATGGAATCCCGTACACGGATTAGTGGCCAGCCGCCGAGATGAAGTGGCAGAAGCCTTACATGATGCGGAATAGCGGCAAACGCTACGCTATTGATTAATGAGCGTTTTCATCGGTTTGTTCCCTTTCCTCATGAGTATCGATGCTAACGACCCAACTGATCGTAGAGGGTGCCTTTGAAGGGATATTCTCCACCTGAAGCCCGCATAATACAAGTCTGCTGAAAACTGAGTCAATTGAACGTCAATAATGGATTAGCGATTGTGGGAATTAGGTCCCGGTGGAACAACAGTTGCCATATTGTTGTTCATTTAGCACGGAGTGAAGATTAGCCAACGATTCTTAGTCATCCTGCCAGACACAGACCGTCACAAATAAAATTTTTCATACCCCAAAGAAAGTGGGGCAGAATGGCGTGATTAATGCAATAGGGGAATGACGAGGAGAGTTTAATTGAAACCAAATGAATCGGAACGAAATAGAACAGAACTGGTACGGAAAACAAGAGGTTGGAACGCAAAGAGGGAGCACGCCCAATGGGGGTGTAAAATAAACAAATAAATAAATTAAAATAAATATAATAAAAACAAGTCAAAATGGTAACATCTAGTAAAGCTTTCAGCCTTGCGGTTGAATGCCGAAATCGGCCTACCGGTTCATCACGTTATACGTGTGAATGCTGATAAGCTATGGTAACTTCACCATCGAAGCTGAGTTGGGGTGAAATGGTGCCCCGGTGGTGTAACTGGTAGCACAATTGCCCGGAAAGCAAGAGATCCGGGTACGAATCCCGGCTGGGGCGAAAGTTTTGCCCACAACTCAGCATTCTTGTAATAAAATAAATAAATATTACATGTATATGCATTCTCAAGGTAGAACATCAGATCTCTCTTGTTTTACCCAAACAAAACCAACAGGAGCAAGCCTTGAAGGTGCAGAAGGTGGGATTGAAAGCTAAAAACTATGTTAAAAAAACTAAAATTAAAACTTTTTTAATTCACACTGGGCAAGTTTGGTAGGTCGCCTACCAACAGCCTGTACTGACTACTGACCGCAGGCACAATGTAGCCCAAAGGGCTAAGAACTATGTTAAGGTGAAGCTGCTTCTCCAATCACTGAACATACATTCATTTCAAAATGTGATCTCGAGAAAAAAATCAAACGAGAAAATCTCAGATGGGACAAATGATCCAGGCAATAATATTATCATAACCTTAGTTTTACTTTTACTTTTCAACACACTGATAGAAGGGGTTTTCTGGAATGCGCCACGCGTTTCCTTCCAAGCAAGACTGGTTTGGCTGTTCCATGCAAATAGGTATTATGAATAGATCGAAAAAGTAGGTAAAAAGTTGGTAAAGGAGGAATACAATCTGGAAAAATTCTAAGCTAAAAATAGCGTCTGGAACTGGCGAGTCGCATCGCACTTCGGTCTTCAAGCTTAGGAATGTTCCACCCAGAAAATGAAAGCAGCTCACCTCCAGCTTTCCTCTGTCTGCTGCGTCGATGTCCTTGCCATAGGAGCTATTTATGGTATTGCCATTCTTCATAGCCTCCTTCTCATTTTTGGTGGGCATGCTGCCATTGCGATCCATCATCGCAACTTCATCCGAAACGTCCAACTCCAAAGCGAACATTATCGGATACTGAACGACATTTATTATATATTTTTATTAGTGCTCGTCAATAAATGTGCTGATATAAAGTTGGAAAAAAAATTAGAAAAAAATTAGGAAAACAAATCGAATTTTGGTGAAATTCATATCAGTTCACATTTGAAAGCTGTTTTTGAAGAATCAACTAGAGGCAATCACTATCGTTCAAGCATGAACTCTTGCCAGTTTCACTAAGCCTACCATGTGATGCGCGCGGTTGCGTGCGGAGCTAAACTGGTGAACTCTTATAAATCGATAAACTTATATACCGATGAGAAAGGTTTTGTTGGTGTGCGCTAGGAATCGCAAGCTTTGGTTTTTTTCTCGCACTTCAATGAAAATCTCTTTGACTCAGATGAAGCTCGCAAAGGCATCATGGCCTGGTAGCGGGGTCAACCCTACGTTGTTACGAGTAACAACGGGGGGGTCGTACCTGGTTGAGTTTGTAGGAGGGGGGGGGTCGTACCCACTTTAGTCGCTCGAAATCACGTGTGGGATTGAGGTGAAACTAAGATTTCGTGGGTAGTAGGCTGGGCGAGTGGAGGGCGCGCAGGATAAAAATTTGCCGTTTCAGCGGGCGTATACCCCCCCCCCCCTGCTCGACGGCATTTTTTTGGAGGAAA